CACAGGTACCAGCACCTGAGGACACACACACACAGGTACCAGCACCTGAGGACACACACACACACACACACACAGGTACCAGTGCCTGAGGACACACACACACACACACACAGGTACCAGTGCCTGAGGACACACACAGACACACACCCAGAGTGATAGACCAGCTGTTGGCCGCCGCAACCAAGCGTTTGAAGGTCCTGATCGGTGATCAATCACAATCTGACTGATCGATTGAAGCCTCACACTTGCTCACAGCCGTTCCAGCAGTAGAAGAGCCTGCTGGGGGTTTGTGGGTGATCTGTAACCCCTGACTGCGTCTGACACGAGCGCTGTGCGAGCCCCCTGTGTGTGTGAGGGCCCTCTGCAGCTGGACCGACTCGGCTGCGTCTCGCCCGCAGTGCGGCTGTCACCAGGCCTGGGAGCGGGACCACGCTGCCCCCTTGTGGAAGAGAACGAAGCTGCCTCTGGAGCTCCGGCCCGGCACGCAAGCCACGGGGGACCCCTCCTGGTGGAGCTCTGGTACTGCGCCCTACTTTACCTGATTTAAGGTCATTATTTTGTAGTCCAGCGTGGAGCGAGCCAGCGACTGGCTGCGATGATGGCGTCGCCTGTGTGTGCTGTGTTGCCCGGGGTCATCAGTCAGCAGGGTGGAGATCAGGGTTTAGGCGCAGGTGAACGCTGGGATCAGCGTGGGGTGGGGGCTGGAGTGAGTAGTTTCCTTTACACTGGTTATGGCCTCCAGGGAGAAACCCACTTGCTCCTACAGTAGCTCTTTAAGAAGAAGGACACTGGCAGGCATTAGGAAGCACAGTCCAGAGCCTCTTCAGAACTCTGTCTCCCTCTCTCCCTCTCCCCACGGCTCTCTCTGTACCCCCACGGTTCTGTCTGTACCCCCACGGCTCTCTCTGTACCCCCACAGCTCTCTCACCTACCCTCCCAGGGACAGAAGTATGTGGCTGCAGCAGGGCTCCCCAGGGCTCAGTGCCATGGGCCCCAGCGTACACAGGGGCTCTGGGGACACCCCCAGGATACACAGGAGCAACAGGGACACCCCCAGGCTACACGGGGGCTCTGGGGACACCCCCGGGGTACACAGGAACTCCAGGGATGCCTTCTAGGCATCCTTTCTCCAGCTCTGCCCCCCCCAGGTCTGGTGAGTTCAAGCTCCCAAAACCATCTCTGTGTGTGTCTCTCTCTCATCTACATTCATTTCACTGAGCTGTTCTGGCATTGCTGGTTATACTGTTCCTCAGGCTGGGACAGATCACACACTGTATTATTATTATTATTGAGAGACAGGCTCACTGTCTGTTCCTCAGGCTGGGACAGATCACACACTGTATTGTTATTATTGAGAGACAGGCTCACTGTCTGTTCCTCAGGCTGGGACAGGAGATCACACACTGTATTATTATTATTGAGAGACAGGC